TTAATTTCCTTCTCTCTCTCTCTCTCTCTCTCTCTCTCTCTCTCTCTCTCTCTCTCTCACACACACACACACGCTCACAAAATTTGACGCCAGCTTGGTTCGAACCTGGGCAATCCACATGAATGGAATTCCAGAGGAGCACCATACGACTGACACACTTTTATATGATTCAACCGTTCCACCAGCAGTAGATCTTGGTTTGATAATTTACGAATATCTGCGTTTTTAGCCAGTCTATTTGAACATAAAGTTGTTAGAGGGTGCTGTGTGATTTTCAAAAGGAAAAGTATTGATACTAACTTCCGAGTGATGCAGTGTGTGCCAGACCTGCTAACAACAATCAGTCTCAATATAAAATAATGTGAGATGATTAGGCCTTTATATGTCTCCAGCTCAACTACAAGAGCGCGAACGATACCCAACAGAAACCTAGAAAATTTGGACCTAGCGATTACTACTACTCGATGCAAACGCTAAGTGAGGCACCAAATCATTATTTTTGTAGATTGACCTACTTTTAAGACAGCTTAGTATTACTCACCTGAAAGGAAAAACGTTAAGACTCAAAAGTCAGATTTTTTATCGCCTATACAGACCTATATATATATACAGAGGTGGTACTAAGTGAGAGCCAAAGACGCCTTGAAGTTAAAATGCATTCCAAAAGTTCCCTAAATATTGGCCAAATACAATTGTTTTTTAATTCGTGATCAGCGACACAAAATTAGTCAAAACCACGCGGGGAACACAATTTAACGCCAGATATCAAGTAAATTTTTAATGTGTTTTGTATGTTTTGGAAAAACATAATTATTTTTCATTCAGATACGTTAAGTAGGCTTGGCAAAGAAAACTGAATGATTAATAAACAAAATTTGCAGTCTTCAATAACGTAAACAAAAAAAAGAAGAAAAAAAAAAGAAAATGCAAGTCATTAATTATATTATAGATTTTGAATGACATACTTTCATATTAGAGTACCATAAATAGTTGAGCATGTCTGAGGAGTTATTCGACTGGGCGGTGGTGCAGAGATACTAGATGTGAATTTGAGGTCTTTTTTGGTTGCTTCTGAAGCAAAAAAACAAAATGTTGCTGTCAGTCTTTATGGGGAGAGATTGCGTCTCTCATCACTTTTGAATGCTGCTCAATCATGGGTCTGATCAACAGTAGAATATAGAGGTGTGCCGGCTCTTCTTTTCGTAACAAGTTATTAAAGTCCGTCAGGTAGGCTTGTAATTCTTCTAAAATATTTGTGTGTATAGATACTTCTTTTTAATTGCCATTTTTTGCCAAGATGATCCTCTTTCTAGATTTCCTTTTTCATTTGAGAACCAAAAAATGTTGCCAAATCGTCCAGGTAACTTGTTTCAGCCATTTCGTCGATGTTTGACCGAGGTACAACAGGCCAAGGACTGAGCTGTAATTTACTACGTCATATTCCATATGAGGAATACTGAAATGTTCCATTGAAAAAGGTCAGTGTCTATGCCCTTTATACAGGGCCTGCTCGCTCCCAGGGTTATGGATTTTTTTAAAAATGTACGTCTAAACAGAACTTCTCTCGTACTGGACTTGCATTAAACCCAAGGGAATCCCCTGGTTTCTATTTTTAGATAGTGCTATGGAACAATTCGCATGTTTCTCTCGATATCACTTTTATCCCCGACCGACCTGACACTCGCGACGAGATTACGTTGACGGAAGGTGCTTGGCCCGGCCGACAGACCCGCAATATTATGTTTTAAGATGCATTTTATGTTTATGATAGTGTACTTTTTTTGTCTTGAGGAGGAAAAGGATAACTTAGTGAAAACTGGGAAAAAGTTAGCTTCTAGCATTGTTTGATTATCACATACGCTCAACTTACAGACAGCCAAGACAGCCTAAATACCCTATGTTGTCAGTTCACGAAAAAGGCAGTGAGCAACAAGTCTGCCTTTATTAAGCTGGTTCTTAATAAGTTTAGAACAAAGAAAACCATATGAGCATTCTATACGAATAGATGAGGAGTAGCATTACTTAGCCTACCTGCTAAAAATTCAATTCTGCCATTCTTCTCGTTTCTTACTGAAAAGTATTAATGTTCTTTTTTACACTGCGCTCTTACAGTAACAAGGCAGCACACTTGCATATCGTGCACTTCCGCACCTATCTCGGCTTTTGCCCGACAAATGCTTAGTGCTGTCAAAAAATCGGGGCGCAACTTGTCCTCTACTAGATCTATTTCTTTAAAAGGTGAATCAATGTCATCCATACTTTGTTCAGCAGTTGTATCGATTTGTCTTAACTATCATATTTTCTACACCAATTGAGGCTAGATTTTTTAAAAAACCTTTCCTGTATCAATTTATATAAAATACTATAAATCTCGATCACACAGAAAATGGGATTGTTCACAGCACTTCCCGCTTCTCACACACATTTAGAATACGCATGCGTCCAAGGGGGTGCGTTCTATTTATAACCTCTTTGCCTACGTCACAGCTCACTAATGACACTTTGTTATGGTAAAACTTGTTACAATAAATTAAGTTTATAGTGAACTCAATTTGTGTTTTGCACTAAAAGTTCTCAAAACTTGCGTTCAATAACGATAGCGTCTTGATTAGAAAAAAAATTAAACTTGCTTTTAAAAACGATATCGTCACAGTTGTAAACCTCTTCGAATCTGTGGATACCACCCACTTAGATTTTTTATTAGTATTTAGTAAGGAAATTTCTAGAATACAGCTTGCAGGTGTTTACAAAATATTGATCTGTTAAGACAAATTGATACAAGTCATTGTGCAAAAGCTGGATAGTCTATGTTCGATAGTTTAGGAAATACTTGACAATAAATCACGACACAAATGTTTGACCACACGCACTATAAAGATATTTGCGCAGAAATTGGTTCCGCCATATTTGTATTGGCTCACTCATGTACAAACGCAAAAGGAAATTTATAAAACATAAAAACCCATTAATTAATAGTACCGGGAGGTTTAATTGGGTGTGTACTTGACCCTCGCAGATGGGTGACTTGGCGCCACCCTTTTCTAGAGCCATCCCCCGCCTACTGAGAGCCAAATAATAA